GTTCAACGCATTTTTACTCGGTGTTTAGCCTCAAAGTAAGACGCGACCTTCAAAGACGCAGTGGGTGAACCTAAAAATAGATCATTAGACTCTTACACGTGAAGGTGAATAATTTGAGAACGAGCGCAGTTTGGAGGAAATTATTAGGGTTTTAACTTATCCACGTGCGTTGCTGAGTCTGGAACACGTCATCGTAATTTTAATAAAATATGTTTTAAGTTTTAAACTTCCGAAAAAGTTCTGTGCATCTGCTGTTCTCTGTCATATACAGGCGGAGTCAAAAGTATGTTCACAAACTTCGCGTGCGTGTTCCAGGATCAAAAATACATTCTTTCTTGTTTAATGAACATTTCGGCTAACCAAATGAACGCAGAAAGTTAAGGAGTCCGCTGCTGCTACTAACATTAGCCACCCGGGGCCCACAGCACCTGCATCTTGGAACACGAGGTGCATGCCACAGACGTTCTGCCTCTGGACTGCGTTAAGTGTTGAAACGAGGCACGAACATACTTTCCCGTTCTTATCCTCGCGAGTGTGAATGCCGCTCGTTTCTGATTCGAAAATGGCGCTTGAGGCTGGCATGATGGTGATGGTCTTCGGATTGTAACCCCGCGTAGATCCTAAGGTCTCGGGGGTACACCGTGGCCTTCAAGAGTAAATACTGAGACATGTTTACCTTCGTGCAGGTCTGCGGAATTTAAATTATGGAGAATTTAAAAAATATTTTGTTGCTGTTAGAAAGTGGCATGTGTATGGTCACGTGCTTGTCTCTTGCGACAGCGTCATTGATCGGTGCCTGGAGATTTCTGATGTCAGGAACTTTTTTTCGAAGAAACTGTGTGTGCTGTTAAATATCTGTAACCGTTTCAAAATTTCCATATAAAGTCTGGCTATGTAAGTAGTTACGTGAACTGGGAGGGTTGCATAAGCTAGTCACTGGACGTGGTCGCTTGAAGTATGCAACCTGGACATCGCGATGGACGTGGGCGTATCCTTGTGTGGTACTAATTTCTATAGGAAGTAAAATATCCTGATGTTGTCACCTAGAATGCAGGTACCAACACGTGATTCAGGTCGAATCAGTTCAGTTGCTTACACAATTTGACGGCCCTGAAACCGGATAGTCAACTCGCAGGGCGACTTGTAGTTTTGTTTTCGCAGTGAATGTTGTAGACAGCGCAACCGTGAAGGGACTTTTTCCCTTATGTGCCGGCCCGACTTGACGGGAGCAGCGTCTGGCTCTTCCGTCTCGATCTGCTGTAAAGAAAATCGTATTTTGAGCATCAACAACTTTTCACCCCAAAGTTTTACTTTGCAGTTATAAAACGTTCAGTCCAGAGGCAGGGATCGTTTTGGGTGGAATTCTTATTATTTTCTTCCATGAATTTGGAAGATAATCTCTGGAATGGTAGAACGTCACGCGGCATGTGGCTTGTTTACGGGATCTGACTTAGCACGTTGAAATGTCGCATGAGGTAGCATCACAAACAAAGAAACTCGTGCTCACTTGGAGATTCTCGTGAGACGGCTACCTCGGCGGTAGGAGGCTTGTGTGAAGACCCTCGTCGCCTGAGACCACTCTTGCATGCAGTCCTTCTGCTTGTGGCATCGAGACCTTTACTTCTTGCTAGATCCAAGTGTTTGCCTTGCCTTGTGTTGACACGTCTCTGTACTCTTTATGCTCAAGCATGTGCCAGCGATGTTTATTTATTATCGAAGTTGTAAAATCAACAGGTACAACCCATTTTATCAGTTTGTGGAGTTACAAGTACCACTCACTGGCAAATGAAATAGATATTTGGTCAGGGAAGTTTGTATTGCAAAAGAGAGCGCTTTTGAAACTTAAACTTGAAGAATGAAATTCTGAGGTTAGGCCTGGCATTGCGTTTAGTAGTAGGCCTATTTTAATAAGGCTCATGTGTCAGGTCCTGAGATTAATGCCAATGAAAACAAAAGCTGTTTCTGTTTATTTTTCTTTTCGTATATTCGCGGGTTTTCGTTCTTAAAAATCCCCTTTTTACGTGTCTTCCAAGCAAGTGAGGACACCAGTCCTTAAATCTCCTGTGAACTTTTTATCGTAACAATTCAAGTCAGGATTACTCGCCGAGTATCTCTGTGAGATATAAACATCATTAATGCGAACTTTTCTGATGCCACGCGCCAGTTTACGTCTTGAACGTCTCACTCGGACCTTGCGTGTACAGTCAAAGCCAAAGCGTAGTGGAACAAATGGGCCGCAAGTCGCTCTCTGCAGCAGTGAAGGGGATTTTGGAAATCGGACGGACGCTGCTGTACCACAGATTCAAAATACGTCCGACTTAAAAACATGAAATGTCCGAGAAATAATGATCGGTGGAATTTTCTAGGCACGAGCCGGTGCTAACATTTCTGACACCAAATGACGACAAGAAACGAACTAAAAGGTCGATAGACCTAAGAGGAAAATGGAATGGACTCGCGGTCTTACGTCTTGTGGTTGATAATAATGAAAATCGGGGAGGTCGAGATATCGCCATGTTGGATTAAGGAAAAGAAGTCCATTAATTTATTTTTGAGAATTTTTGTAGTCCGATTTGTTTCCAGAAATTCAAAACTAATGGCGCGTCGTAAAATAAAGTCACTGACCGAATATAGGACGGACAGAGTTCGAATCCCCACCTGTGACGGACACCAAATTGTGTGTCACGATCAACAGGCAGAGGCGCCCTCATGAAACGTCGATTTCTAGAATTTGAGGAACAGTCACACAAAACGACCAAGAAACGTCGCCTAAAACTGATAAACAAGCGACACGTGCCTCCGAAACGCCGCCGATAACCTGCAAGACCATTAAAATTACAAGCACCAGCGAAACGTCAGAAATTGTAACTGGAAACAAACCAACAGTTTCATTTGCGAAACACACACTTACGAGCAAATTTTAATATTAGTGGCCAATATAATATATTGTATTTAATTCTTTTCCGGTTTGATTCGAAAACTTTAATTTAAGTTTACTTATTATTTTAAATCTTAATTTCGGTTAGGAAATGTGGTTATTGCATATTTATTTTCAGTTTAACGAAAGTGGAAATTCTTTTAATTGGTATTCGATATTATTTTCTGACGTCGATTAACATAGCAGCGGTCAAGTTTATCAGGCGTCAGAAACTTATTATGGCCTGACCTACAGTTTTACACAAAATACATAGTTTCAATAAAACATATTTTATTTCGTAACTATTTGTAATACTGTCTTCTCAGACCAAAAATGATACATAGAAAATATAAAATTCTGCTTCGTGTAAAATATATTTTGCGATTTAAATATTATTTCATGGAAACTGACAATTGTATATATTTGTTTTACTTTTAATAACACAACTTTGTGGTGCTCTAGTCCTAGAAAAGAGTTAAATCAGTTGCATTTGAGAATTTCGTTGTCGCGTCGTAGTGAGACTAAGTCCCTGTCTTGATTTAAGTAGCCGCTAGAATTTATATTCGCACATCACAAGAGGCCACTAAAAAAACTCTCTACAGATAAAATATTCGCACGGGTCCACAGCTCTTATTAAGTGATAACAGGAAAGAATTAACCTTCTCGTTTGTTATTAGAACATGCATTTACTTTCCAAAATATCAGATCTTGGGAGTGAAATTTAAATTCTGAAGTTTCCCCCGCAGACTTGCCACATCATAGTGGCTCTTTATACGAAGGTTAATGAAATATTATTTGGTCTTGAGTGGGTTGCATAACTCACCTCCACAGCAGGGGTGTCAATGTTCCCAACATTTCGCTCATCGGTCCCGTTGTGATCGTAGTTTTCGAAAGGCCAACCCTGATCACTCGTCTTTGAGGCTGGGATTTCAGAACAGGAGACAAGAACCCATTTTAATACCGGATATTTGAGTGTATTTCCGCTAGTACTCGAAGCTTTCGTGAGCTCCGACGTGTCTGGGGCCCAAAGCCTCGTTACCATTTCAAGTGCTGCCAACGGCGATGTTGTAATTGAATTCAGTTGCTTATCTCTCCGGATAGTTTCATGCCTGAGAAATGGGGGCCCTGCAGCGTAACGTGTGGACAGGGCTTCCGCAAACGGGAAGTCCAGTGCAAGATCTTCCTTGACTTCGCGAGGACTATGGCCCGCCTTCCTGATGGCCACTGTCAGGGTCCTAAGCCTTCGGAGGTGGAGCGCTGTGTCCTGGAGCCCTGCTCAGCCCACAGGTACGCCCTAACCCAAGAAACACTTTCTGTTCCTTTTTATAAAAGTCGAGAATGTCAGCAAAATTGTTGTGGCGCCAGTGGGAATCGAACCCCGATCGCTCAGAGCCAGGAACTCAGCTCGACTCATCGAGCGAACACACGTACGGCGTTCCGAATTTTAAAATCGATATTGTTTCTTGTAGCCGACATAAGTTTTTTTGCTGGTAAGATGCATATAAATTTTAAATGAATTGTACAAATTAAGAGTAGAAGAAATTCGATTAATTGTTGCTTCCAAGCGTTTCAGAGGTTCTGTTCCAATTTTTGATCTAAAAATGCAAATATTAGGATGTAAAAACTGTAACATTACCTGTTATTCTGTGTGAGTGCGAACTCTCGCATTAAAGAGGAACGTCAATCGACTGCGTTCGAGAGCGAGATATCGAGGAAAGTAATCGAACTTAAAAAGCAGAACGCAGCAGAAGGCGTGAGAAAGAAGCTTATTGAGAAAATCTGTAATTTGACGTCGTCAGATTGTATTAGGATGATAACAACAGAGAGGGGGTGAGGAACCTGCGGCAGGTATCACATAGGAAACGCACGCAGAATCCTGAAAGATAATCGTTGAAACTATTTGGAGCAATTGCCTGCGCTATACACAACTTGCAAGCACGCAGACAGAAACAACCTATACTATGTTAAATTCGTGCTGCAGCTCGTGTCGGCTTACGTGGTCTGCGGACAAAGTTCCTGCGTATCCTTTCGACGTTTTCTTCAGACACACATGGACACCCTAAACCTCTGTTGTGCAAAACACTTCCGGACCCAATGAGCTGTTTGTACGAGGCACGTATCGATGGTCCTGGTGCTGCCATCTTGTGGTACTTTTCCTCAAAATGTCTTTGGACCTGTGTATTACAGTGCAGTGGAAGAGAGCGTGTGCTACCATCTACCGGGAACTCGGCGAAACGCGTCTAGCTTAGAAATTGAGTCTACGTATTTTCATAAAGATTTTATTCAGCAGTAAATTTTAAAGATGACTTATATGCATCCTGTATTTAAATGAATTTAAAAAAAACTGTATGTGAGGATGCGGACTGGTTAAATATGTCTGAAGACAATGAGCTCCTGCAGTATCCTGAAAAATCGGCAATTAACTTTCTGGTATTACAAAAGTCGGGCAATTTATTGAGTGGCCGAGCAACTGTCAGCATTTCAAGAGCATCTTCTGGCCACTGGTCCCCAGTAGTCGAAATGTTTTATTTCAAGATATTATCCTTGACTTTCCCTTAAGGGACTGAGAGATACCACTGACTAGGCCGATATTTGAACCCGCGACTTCATCGTTACAGGCAATGATACCTCAAAATATAAAAGGTCTATGTTAAATTAATTTGGTTTCTCCTGTATAATCTGCAACACATTCAGGTTGGAGGCAGAGGGCGGCTTCTACGGGGACTCCGGAACTTACCGACATGACCCGATCAGGGTCGCAGCACCTGCAGGGAAGACTTACACGTGGAAACAGCAAGGGTTCACCCACTGCAGTGCGTCCTGTCTCGGAGGTGAGTCATGTTTCCGGCATCAGGAGAGTTTCCGTCCGCTCGTAACTTGTCATGCACTTCAGACACGCCCATGTATTACTCGCGTGGCCCTTGAACTGAGGTGACGGGTCTCTTGATTTTTATTTTTCTTCCGGCAGTGTGAACAATTCAAACCCTGGAAGAGGAATGTCGAGTGCCACCTACACAGTTCTTGTAAATTGACATAAGGACTCTCTCAAAAGCCACCACTCAGTTCTGTTTATTTGGAAATTTGATTCAGTTGCGACACAGCGTAACGCTGGATGACTGAGTACTAGAAATGCAGTCCTTGGCTGTTTATGGTTTTGGTACAGAATGAACTCAAATGAACTTTTGACACACTCAAAGTTACACAGAAAACACACTAACAGCAGTCGGTCGGAAAGCTCTCTATCTTGTTTCAAATGACCCGAGTGATTGTTGTCGCGCGCTTCCGCTAGATGTCACTAGTTTTTAAAATGGCTGCCCCGCGATATAGGACTAGGCGTGTTCTCCGGTTGGCGAAGACGGAGCCTATAGTGCAGTTGTGCAACTAGCCCTTCCTACTCATTTTCAAATTAGACCACCCAGCCGAATATCCATTTTCGCCGGCATCTTTGTCAAAGTTGATGCAGCGAATCCCAACTGCCTGTTACTTCCATCGCTTGGGACTTTTTGCACAAAGTTAGGGTCGATTTGGATTATCGTACCGACATCTGCCGTGTGACTCGCGGAGGATATATCAAGTCTCTGTGCAGTGTTTACATAACTTTCGTCGTTTTTTCTATCGACTGGTGTAGGTGTGAAGTTATAAGCACGCAGCATTTGTTGTCTGTCATTTTGAGAGTGTCAAGTTCTTTTGTGCACATGCTGTATGTTTGTTAAACACGTCGAAACACTCAGCGTTTCCTAAGATGCATCCACACCACATCTTATTGTCTTTGAGGTACCCACCCTCGACCTTTCTTGCTATGCCCCCTTGGGGCCTCCTACACCCAGTGATAAAGTACCATTTTATATGAAATTCCATTGGAATGAAGCATGTACCAAATTTCATCAAAATCCGTCGAGCAGTTCTTGTGTCTTCCAATGTTCTGTCACTAATCTCAGCATAAATCACTACCATGTCAATTACTGATTTACGTAATTATAAAGTATGATTTGACAGTAACCTCCAATGCCATGAAGTTAATGCCAAATTTCATCCAAATATGCCCAGTGGTTCTCGAGTGGGATCATAGGGTCAGAAAGAAAATCTGCCAATAAGGTGTTCGTTCACACTTGGGCATAAAGTACTTCTAACAACAAAAAATGCCCCTACAATATTCAGATGCAACGGCTGATGCTTACAAAGATACACACACGTTGCTCTGTGTGATTCATTTTCTCAGCGTTCAGTGTTATTTATCATATTTGGTTTAACTACTGAGCGCACTTCTGCCGAAAACTGAACAAATATTTGTGGAACAGTGATAACCCCGTGAAGAATTCTTTGTATCCTCAAAAATGGTTTGGGTGCTGTTTCGTCTGTTCCAATTTTTGGCTCGGTCTTCACGGATCTCATATTTAATGTTCCGTTCTGCCCGAAACTCCTCCAGGTCTTCAAAGCCTCGGACGTGGGAGAAACAATTTCCGTTTATTCCTAAATGAACATTTACATGAAAGATCACCTCTCATCAATCCTGAACAACTTTAGAATTTCACGTTCTAAGCCTCCATGTTTACCAGACTTGAAACCCTACAATTATTATGGAAAATCCTGTAGGAAAATTCCCACATACAATTCAAAAATTTAATTGTGGACAGCATCACTGACAAAACACTGTTTTCGCTGTGGAAAATTTACTTCATCGGCAAATGGTGTCAGATGTGCGGGGATCACACGCTGAATATGTTTTACTCAAAATAGGGACTGCCAAATTCTACATGTTTTATGATGCTAAATTCATTCATGTCGGTGCAGTTCATCAATGAATACAGGCATTCAAAAGTGCCATTTATTTTCTTGGTGACAGCAAAAATTCTCTGATTTTTTTCTGTGTTGGTACTGGAATCTTTGCCATTCAATGCTGTGATATTTCATCATTAGCCCATTGTACTTTTATGAAGTTTCGAATTTCCGTCAAAGTCCCAGTCTAGGTTTAAGCGAAATGTTTATCATTTATGTGTGTTAAGATAATCTAAACTGTACAATTGAATATTCTGGAATTAATTCTTCTTAGTGGAATATAAATGATGCATTGTTATAGCTTTTAAATCACTTTATTATTGAATGTAATTACTTGCTTTTTGGATAATTTCAGCTGATAAATTTTGTAGATATCTAGAGTAAAGTACATCTCTCAGGTTACTCATGTTGACGTCCTATTTCTGTGCTAACAGCGGCACAACGGCATATTTGGAAACATTTGATGCGTCGCTTTACAGGAGTTCAGGAATCGCTCATCCTGTGCGTGCGAGACGGCGACCAGAAGCCTGTGTCACCTTACCTGTGCCCCCAGGACGCGCGTCCCGAGGCTCTCATCCGGACGTGCAACGATCATCCGTGCCCACCGCGATGGAACTACTCGGACTTCCAGCCCTGCACCAAGTCTTGCGGCGTGGGCTTCCAGACCCGCGAGGTGAACTGCATCCACGAGGTTACGAGGGGCGGCTCCAACACCGTCATCGTGCCCAACAACATGTGCCCGCAGCCACCGCCCATCGATCGCCAGTACTGCAACGTGCTGGACTGCCCTATCCACTGGCACACATCCGAGTGGACGAAGGTGCGTGACGTGAACAAGGAGTGGTGTCCAACCATCTGTTCAAATGCGCTTTATGAAAACACTTGGTGGATTTAGATTAAATTTGATGCTTGTTTCCTTCATAAGATTTGTTTGGTTGACTTTGTTTTGGGTACAAGATAACTCTGTACTTGAATACGGCTGAAATAAGACTTGATCAAACGTACCATAAAACATAAATTCTCATTTCTGTTGCTTCTTTTCTCCTTTGTTACTGTCGACAAGTCTCCATATCATTCTAAAGAAGTTTTTAGACAATAGTTCAATGATAATGAGGGGATTACTAAGCTGCAGCGAGGCTGAACTCTTTTTGCGACTGGCAATCGGTCGGCAAACCCGGCTTTATTGGTCCTTATGACCAGATTTTAAGTCATGGGTTGACTATTGCATTACACCGTGTGGCATCCTGTCAGAAGACATGGCGAGTCTTGGTCCTTATGACCAGATTTTAAGTCACGGGTTGACTATCGCATTACACCGTGTGGCATCCTGTCTGAAGACATGGCGAGTCTTATCGTTTCTTATGTGCCTTTTGTCTTTGTCAGTTCTGTACGTTCATACAATTTAGTAAGCCACGTTTGAGGAATCGGTTTCAGATATGGGAACCGGATGGACGGCGTAGAACCTTGGCTGGAAGACGGGGGGAAGATGGTGAGGATCGGGTGTGGGTGCTGGGGTCAGTGGAAGATCATATTAATTTTAACAGTTCAGTTTCTTAAGACAATTGTGAACAGTCAGTGGAAGATCATATTAATTTTAACACTTCAGTTCCTTAAGACAATTATGATCATGCGTTTCAGAGGTTCTGTTCCAATTTTTGATCTAAAAATGCAAATATTAGGATGTAAAAACTGTAACATTACCTGTTATTCTGTGTGAGTGCGAACTCTCGCATTAAAGAGGAACGTCAATCGACTGCGTTCGAGAGCGAGATATCGAGGAAAGTAATCGAACTTAAAAAGCAGAACGCAGCAGAAGGCGTGAGAAAGAAGCTTATTGAGAAAATCTGTAATTTGACGTCGTCAGATTGTATTAGGATGATAACAACAGAGAGGGGGTGAGGAACCTGCGGCAGGTATCACATAGGAAACGCACGCAGAATCCTGAAAGATAATCGTTGAAACTATTTGGAGCAATTGCCTGCGCTATACACAACTTGCAAGCACGCAGACAGAAACAACCTATACTATGTTAAATTCGTGCTGCAGCTCGTGTCGGCTTACGTGGTCTGCGGACAAAGTTCCTGCGTATCCTTTCGACGTTTTCTTCAGACACACATGGACACCCTAAACCTCTGTTGTGCAAAACACTTCCGGACCCAATGAGCTGTTTGTACGAGGCACGTATCGATGGTCCTGGTGCTGCCATCTTGTGGTACTTTTCCTCAAAATGTCTTTGGACCTGTGTATTACAGTGCAGTGGAAGAGAGCGTGTGCTACCATCTACCGGGAACTCGGCGAAACGCGTCTAGCTTAGAAATTGAGTCTACGTATTTTCATAAAGATTTTATTCAGCAGTAAATTTTAAAGATGACTTATATGCACCCTGTATTTAAATGAATTTAAAAAAAACTGTATGTGAGGATGCGGACTGGTTACATATGTCTGAGAAATGAGTGTTTTGTGTCGCTAATATTTACATAATCAATAATTCTTACCTGTTCCATTAATTAAATTTAAGTGGTGCTAATATGAGAGTTGTGACTTCATGTACGTTGTTTGCGCAGTGCTCCAAGAGCTGTGGTGGAGGCATAAAGACGCGTTTGGTAGAGTGTAAGCAGGTGATGGCTCAGAACCACGTGGTGTTGCGCTCGATGTCCAAGTGCCCGCCCAGCAAGCCAGCGGACAAGAAGCCCTGCAACACCCGCTCCTGCGTCCTGGAGTCAGACCGGCCACACATAGCCACCTCGAACCACTCGTACGTACAACAGAACCCCTCAAAGAAGAAGGTGACGCTCAAGATTGGCGGACAGGCTACTGTCTTCTGGGGCACGCAGATCAAGATCAAGTGTCCTGTGAAACGGTTCAACAGGTAATGCAACAGAAAAACTTAATCCTGTTTATGTGAGCTGATAATGTTTTATCTGTGTTTGACTTTAATCAGGAAATCAGTAGGAGGGGATAAATTTCCAGCTGTGGAGACTGTTAATGTGCATAAGTAGATTGTAATTTAAGTCTTATGATGTTACTGTATAAGGACTTAATAATTTCAGTGTATTTCCAGTTCATTGATGGATTTTGTGTACGCTTCAACTTCAGTTAACTGCAAAATAAATGCCACTGTGTTTGTATTGATTAATGAGGAGAACAGTGATTTAAGTGCCGTTTGCATGTCAGGTCTTTGCAGTCTTGGTGTTTTTGTACTTGCAGGACTAAAATTCAGTGGGCAAAAGATCACAATTTCATAAGTAATTCAAAGAAATACAAGATTTCGAAGAAAGGCGCTCTCCGTATTCAAGACGTAACGCAGAGGGATGGAGGAACTTACACTTGCCTTGGTAAGAACGTGACTTGCGTGTCATCATTCTGAATTTGTTATTGAATATTTTACAAAGTTTCATTCCTCCAGTTACTGCATTGCAGGTAATTGCTTTTTAATGCAGTTTGTGAGGATACTTGGGACTGAACATCGTCTTTAAAGAAAATTGCGTAATATTCTACCCAGAGACTTTGGAGGTTTAATGAATCTTGGCTAATGAAGATTAAAATATACAAAACAATAATTTTGCCCGTTGTTTTGTATGGGTGCGAAAGATGGTCTCCCACTCAGAGAGAGGAACACAGGTTGCAGGTGTCGTTGGGAAGCCTGAGGGGAAGAGACCCCTGGGGAGACCTAGACGCAGATGGGAGGATAATCTCAGGCGGGATCTACGGGAGATAGGAGATGAAGGAGACTGGATTTTGTTGGAGGGCTTTGGTTAGTTCGGTGATGAACCTTCAGGTTCTGTAAGCCATCTTGTTAGTTAGTTAGTTAGTTCATACAGAGATAGATTGAAGAATGGACAAAGAAAGGAGCTAGTTTTGATGTGAAGATTTGTCAATTGATGCCTGAAGGCAAAGTAGTTACGAAGTATTTGGACCTGAGATGGATAGATAGATTGAAGAATGGACAAAGAAAGGTGTTAGTTTTGATGTGAAGATTTGTGAATTGATGCCTGAAGGCAAAGTAGTTATGAAGTATTTGGACCTGAGATGGATGAAATAAGGATATTGCAAGGATGAACATATATAACTGAGATGAGGTAGACAAGAAATGCATACATAAATTTTGTGAGAAAGATGTGTGAAAATCTGAGATGAGGTAGACAAGAAATGCATATATAAATTTTGCGAGGAAGGTGTCTGAAAACGGGCCATTTAGTAGGCCAAGAAAGTAATACTAAAATCAGTATTATATTTTGAAGATGGGAATTTGGAAGGAAATTCTTCATAGTCATGGCTGATGGTAGACGTTGGTATTTGCAGTGTTGAATATACAGGGTCTGCTGTCAGATATGTAGACCACAATTCTTACTTACTTTACAGTCAAGAAGCAGAAGGCTGTATATAATTGAAGTTTTGTAAAGCTGTAACATTATAAACCTTGTATCAGTGTGAGCTGTAAATTCTGCCAACCTTTTGAATGTAATGTTGTTACGATATTATATATCGTTGCTTTATGTGGCATCGTGCTGTCATGATATGTCCTATGAAACCTCCCACAGTATTTTATCTACGAAGAACACTGTAAAAATGTATCATATATGAATAATATTTCAATATCATGTTATTGGCTGTCATTAGAACATTTTTCCACAGCTGGACAGTCATCTGCTGACCTAGTGATGACAGTAAAGCCTCGACCCGGAGAGTTTCCTAGCTCGGAGGAGATCGATAGGCAGAACATGAACCACATGTTGGATAGGACAAGCCTTGAAGATCCAAACATGGAGAGCAATGGTAACTATTGTTGTTTGTTCACAGGAACTCTGGGCACCCCCTCAAAATTTAATATCACTAACCATGGCAATTAGTGGGACAGCTTTACTTATGTATCTATTGACATTTTATAAACCTTTACATGTACTAGTTATGCCATGTCTTTAGCTTAGTCACCGTCCTAGAGTGTTCATGCTAACCGCATTCTCACCGTACACAGGAGCATTCAGAGAAGGATAATTTTACTGTTGAAGGACCAAACCATGATGGTCGTCACCCCTTTCCACCAGGAGTTGATGATCTGAGCCACGAGCTGCGACCAGAAAGCAACCCCTTGTCTTCATTACCCAAGAAACCATCAGGCAGGGTGTACGCCTCACCCCCCACTACACCAGCACTGGAGGTAATTAAGACCTGGTTGGACTTCTGGTCACTTCCAGGCATGCTGTTAGTGAAAGACCAGGTACAGGTACTAAGGATCATCCCGTCATGCAAAATACACCAACAAACTCGTCAGTCCATGATGCACAGCGAATGGCTGTCAGCGTCTAAATTTTACTGTTTGCAGGTTCTGGTGAGAGACGGCCACAATTTATTGGCGGCATTCTGCTTCTCAGCATCACAAATTGTTTGAAAGTTTACAAAAACTTTTGAGCACAATCATTCACCCATTCGCATCCATAAAGTGTACCCGTACACTTTCGTAACCCCAGGCCGCGGTCCCGACAAGTCTGCTTACACCCATGAAAAGATATGAAAGTTTTTTATGCGTCTGTTCTCGATAGACGGCACAAGAAGAGCTGCTGGTGCGTGGCTCGCTGTACTAGATGACTTTTGTATCTCATGGAATTATTCGTAACCAATTTGTTCATATTTTAATATTATGCAGATAATGCAACGGTCCTTGCCGCATACAGAGAAAAGCAGAAGTAGGATCCTCTTTCTTTGCACTTGATGGCTCAGTAGGATTTTAATACCAATTGTATTACCACGTGCAATTTATTATAAATAATCCTTAGTGACTGTTGCCTTAGATGTTATTGTGTGGACGAGCCATGTTCTCTTATAAGATTTTATGCAAAATAAGGTGTTTTCTGTCATTTCCATGTATTTATTCATAATATTCCTGTCAACTTAATGCAACTTGTGAGTTTCTTTCAGTGCCTATTTTGGTAAGTTGCCGTCCGTTTTGTAATCCTATTTCTACGTTAGCTTATCTTGGTTTCAAAATTTCCAGATTGCAGTTCTGTTAAAGTAAGCAAGGCTTTCTTGTGGACAGAACCATTCTGTAAATACAGTGTATGTCATATATTAGTGAAAACAAAAGTATATGTGAATTGGATGATTATTTTATTCAGAAATTTGGTGAGTACGTTTATCTGATGGGGGCAAAGGATTTTTCCTCTAGCCTCTGCATCCAGGTGTGCTCTGGGGCCCACCCAACCTCCTATGCAATGGGTACTGGGGGTAAAGCGTGGTCGGGGCGTGCCGCTAACCACTCGCCCCCACCTAGTGCCGAGGTTAAGAATGAGTAGGAGCTATAACTCCTCTCCCCGTAAGTGCCTAAATGGCGTATTGTGGGATAGCTTTACTTTACTTTTACAGTCAAGATATCTTATACATTTTAAAGATCTTTATAATATCATGTAATGATTGGCCATTTCACTTTATTTTAGCCGTTGTACATATCTTAATTCTGAAGGTTTGTGACGATGGGTCGTCGTTGAAGCAAACTACTTTCTGGACATATCCGTCGTCCCAGATTTAATAAAATGTGACGTCTTGTATATATATGCCCTGCTGCTGTCTGGAGATAGGGACTAGCTATATCGATTGGGTCCAACAGTGCTGGTTTTACCTGAAGACGGAGATAGACTCCGATCTGAGAAACGTGTTTTATTAAATCTGGGACAATGGATAATATCCAGAAGGTAGTTTGTTGTACATATGTTTATGTTTCAGCAGCTCTTGTTAAATTAAGCGCAGTACAGTGCGTCTCTCCTCTGCTCTTCGTAAGTTGTTCTGGGTTGCATTGCTTTTGGGCATATTTCTCTTGTAGTGATTGCCATTTAGTGTGGTGTGGATTCCTGTTACCAAAGCACGAACTATTTGTTAATATTTGTATGCTTTTGGTTACAGAAAATGAGGGATAATTCTAAGTATCAGTAAGTTGAAATATTTGAGCCTTAAAGATGACTGTCTTCTGGGATGTTGTGCCCTGTAGTATGGTGAAAAAGATGAATCCCTCTGATGATGGGAGTCACTTTCTATCAGACTGGATGGCACAACATAACATACCAAAAGACAATTATTTTCATAGTCAGTGCTGTGAGAACCTAGAAACTTGCTCTATTCCTGCGAGGCTTGTCTAATATGTTACACCCACAACGACAGGAAAGTGCTCAGTGGCAGAGGTCATAAAACCTTTCCTATTGTATAGATATCATAGCCACAAATCTTGTGTCCTTAATGTCATATTTATGTAATATAAATTTATAATTGAACATTGCAGTACCAGTCAAGCTCATTGGTTAGCGTGCTGGAGTGACGTACAGACAGTCATAAGATTAAATTGCAGCCAAGTCAGAATAATTTTATTGCTTGCAGTTGTAAATATGCTGTATATGTTAGATAGTGATCTTCTGGGGTGTAGTCTTGTGGTTGTATACCAACATTTTTGTAAATGTGCTGCCTCAGCCTTCAGGGTTGAATTGAGAATGGTTAAGAACTTGATGGGTTATGTAGAGTTCAGTCAGGGGTCAGGCAAGGAAGGATGGTCATTCAGGTAGATGGCAGGTGAGATGGATTTGCGTCTCTTCGTACAAGATCAAGAAACAGGAAGTGTCGGAGACAAAGGCTGGACCAAGTGAAAGAGAAAAGGCAGGTGTAAGTAGGAGACTTCCATAACTGCTTCAGGAGAATCCGTGCTTTGTACGTATGTTGCGATTCAATCTCTGTCACTTCCCTGAGTGGCCTTTGGCGGCGTAAACTTCAAGTAAACAGGCGGTTAATTCAAAAGTTGAAATGTAGGACACAAGCAGACATCATGGGAATCTCGATAGCAAACTTTCTTTCTAGAAAGGAAAAGTGAACTAGCAGTTTATTGAGATAACACACATATTTGTTTCATATAGCTGATATATTTCTAAAAACGAAGTATTTAGCTTATGGAGGTAAATGTAAAATTTCTTTATGTTTGAAGTGGGAAACAGTTTTAAGTGTTTAAGAAGTAAGTTTTGTGTATAAAATTGCATCTCATTCAAAGAATGAATATTCTATGTTATGTCTGATTTCAAAATAATGTGACATGAAACAAATTTTCAGGAAAGGCATATACAGTATTATTTGTCATGATCTTACTGCCAAGTCTTTACAAACATAAAAATCATAAATATAAGAATACCAGAATGACTTTCAAAGAATTGTAGATAATCTTAAATTGAATTCTCATCCTAGATTCCTATCAGGTATTGAATTTTGTACTTTATTATATAATACTCTTTTCTGAACTTGTGTCAGTATTTTGTGGTTTTGTGGCACGCCTATGAAAATGGCCTTATTTTCCAGACTGCGGTGCAGTTTGCTGCAAATGCAAGTAATGTCCTTCATCGCTCATGTGTTTTGTACACACACAGGCTGAGGTATCCAACCCTTCTAACAAGCCTGACGCTGCCTCAGATGTGGCAACGGGTGGATACCAGTTTGAGGGTCCCGTGTCCTTTACGCCCCCCCGCTTGTCAGATTCTTTTGGAGAACCCCCCTCCAGATCGGGGGGCTCACGTCCCATGCCCCACTTCCAGAAGCTTCTAGCTAACCTGCAGGTGAGCGACCCCCTCCCCTACAGTGCCACAACCCCCATGTCACTTCACACTGTGTTCTGTATTGTCTGTAAAGCTTGCTGAATGTTAGAAGAGCTTGAAATTGAGCAGCCGGTAGTCTCCTTATTGCTACTGTAAGTATTTATGTTGAAGTCAGCTGCATAATCATGTTTATGACAGATCCTAGATCATGGCTTCAGTTGAAGATTGCTGTCTTCTGGGTTGTTGCGCCATGCAGTCCGGTAGACGTTTACCGACGTTTCAGAAGTCTGTGCTGCCGCCATCAGGGCTCAACAACCCAGAAGACGGCAATCTTCAGACTCACCGCCTTGTAACCCTCAATCCTACATACATAGAAGGGTTTACAAGACTTTTAACCTAGTAGAGAGATTGTATGTGTTCTGCGTTGATTTATCAGTTGATGCTTTTCCTTAGAATTGTAATGGACTTCCCTAATTACTTCCTTGCTTTTAAGATGGCTTAATCATTAATGGTTTTATGAATTAAAAGAAATATTAAATTTCTCTACTTTTGGGCTGTCACTAAAGATATATAATTTACTTTCCTTTATTTTTCCCCCATAATGCGTTGTTCTGTAAAGAATATTAGTTCTCCTCAGTGGATTAAGAATGAAATGCAAAGCGTGTAATTACATGAAAAATTATATCGCACGTTTTCTAAATAAATCTTACATGAATTTACATTACATTACTTCTGTTTGTTTTACTACAACACAGTTACTTGAAGGAAGGAACCCTTCTAATGCTTATTTTGAGCACTCTGTATGCACTTAACATTTCAAACAAATTGATCTTGAATCGTATGAAATATATGTTGTTACAATTTTTCATTTCTCTTAATAAATTAGAAAAATTAAGATGTTTTTTGCTTCTGTTATCTACAAACACAAAGATTAAAATATATATAAATTTGTTAATTATTTTAAATTTCATGTGTAAATTTGTCACGTACTGTGATGGCGGTGTTTTAAACAAAGTGGGGAGAAGTAGTTTGGCTCTAGGAACGCTATAGGAATTATTCCATATCAGATCAAACAACACTAAATTAACTTGTAATCACACCATCACCAATTTTTATGATTTTTATTTTACAAGTAGTAACATTTTATCCAGAGTTTGTTTTTTATTGTGACTGAGCCCTTACATATTAATTAATGAAATAAGCAGTTTTTATCTTTCATGAATATTTAAATACCTCCATCACTTGAAATGTCAGAAATACAAAATTGGTGTCCAACAATAGTAGAGTGGTCTTTTGCTCCATTGCCAAGAAATTAAAATTTTAACTTGTGCGCCAGCGTCTTTTTGAGTCTTGGGAACACTGGCAGCCAGGCATAACAAACCATTAAGAATATAAAATGGTGTAATGCTTATGATTGAGCGAACAGAAAAAATGCATGACTTCAGCAACACCGCAGTGTTTTCGCATCCTCTGCGCTGCAACGTCTTAAATCGAAATCAGTTTCTACGCGTGTGACAATAGTTCACATGGTTTAGCCCTGTTTTGTCATATCTTCAAGCTGTAATTCTTTTGTTTTAATTACATTGTTTATGTCTCATTTGATTTGTTTACACAAGCTGGCTGTTTCTGTCATCAGGTTAAACAATATAACCTAGAAAGATGGATCCATTGAAAAGATGAAGACTTGAGAAAGCTTTTTGCAGTTGACCCAACTTTCACATTGTGTGTCTTTACATTAGTAAATTAATAGGCAAAGTTAAATGTCAAAGAATATGCATTAGTTTAATGATAAATCTTCATCAGAAACCTGAGATAACTCTTTACTATTTACATTTTGTCAATAATAATAATATTAAATTTTTCCCCTTCTCACATCTTTTGTGTCATTGGAATAATTATCGTCCAAGCGACGTGCATTGCCCTCATTCAGACTTGTTTCCTGTGTGTAATGGTTTTCCCGTTTCTTCTCTTTGTTGTCTTCTTTCTAACTCGTGCTTACTGCATAATTGCTTTTTGTTCAGTTTCTAAACAGTTGAAATTGACTTACAGTTATCACAGAGACAGTAGTTATTGAAATGTGAAGGCAGTGAAGCCCCCATCAAAGTATTTTTTCTTTAACTCTCAGTCCTACGTATTCTTTCATATTTTCCCAGTTATGTTGGTATTTCAGCTTTATTGCTCCTATTCCTGTATAATTGTCCGTCTACTTAACATCCGATCTTAATGGGTCTGTCTCCTATTTGCATAACTTTTTGTATATTTTCTTTCCTTTATTTCGTAGACCTACATGTTCAACTCTAATAATGCTGTATTTGCACATCGTCAAATTGGCTCTGTAGCTCAGTCGGTATCAATTTGGATTGTTCGCTGTATAAAATGAGGTGCCTTAGAACTGCACTGCTGTAGCGCTGTAGTACAAGTATCTGTATGTTTCTGCTTCCTCATGTAAGAACTGTATCTGCTATGTATCTTCCTATGTATTCACATAAACTTTGTAGTAAAAGTGTTTTTCAGGCCTTGAATGGTGGTGACCCTGTGGATGTCTAAATTTCTCAAAGAATGATGAGAAAATAAATGTACCAGAATTAATGTGAAGTAGAACAGAGTGACATAAATACCTAACGTATTCATCTTGTCTCCATCTTGCTGCCATGATTTGTGCAGTGGGGAATATGTAAGAGCATAAAATATATATTGTACCTTATTTCTCAATACTTATTTTGAATTTCTTCGTATTTGAAGCTTATATTCGTCTTAGGTTATGTTTAATATAAATTTTCTAGAATTTTAATTTCAACATTTAATTGTATTTTGTATAACAATAAAATGCATCATTTGAATATTTCAGGTTAATTTCCGTATTCGGCATTCTCCAGGTTTATAACTCCGTGCAGATTTCTCTCATATTATATTTAACAAAGGAACAAATCTGAATACCTCACATTTAGACGACATTTTTCAGCATTGTCATGAAGCAATGTTAGTTACTTATTTGGAAAAATTTTAACAGAAACAGTCATGAAGCTTCTAGTGCATAAAACTGGTATTACGGTTCATATCTACAACACTCGAGATATATGAGGATTATATTTACATTGAAAATGTTATCAGTTCGGTAGCTTTTTACTTACAATATGTTTCTGTTAAATATTAATATCTTTTAGAGTAACATATGAAATTTGCCATAGGGGTCACATTACTAAGAGGTCTGAGATGCAGCTTTTATAGACTGTAGTTAAGGTTGTGGGTTTTAAGGTGCAATTGGTAGTTTACTGTATATATGATTGATAATAAAAGAGCATTATTTACATAGTATTACAAAATGGCTGTTGACCATTAATTTTTAAAGCAAATGAAAGCTGAAGTAGATGCTTAATTGTACATTTGAGAAAGTAGTGTTAATAGCTCAGTGCCCTCTCC